CAAACTAAGCAAACAAGAACAGAGACAGAATCATGGATACGGAGAGCATTTTGATGGTTGACAGATGGGAGTTGGGTTGGGAGAATGGACAAAGAGTTGGGGGAATTAATAAGTACAAATATGTAGTTACAGAATAGCCGTGGGGATGTATAGGAAATGGAGTAGCCAAAGAACTTATACGTATGACCCATGGACATGAACAACAGTGTGGGGATTGCCTGAGGGAGTGGCATGTGCTGGGTGGAGGGGGGCAAAAGGGGAAAAATTGGGATAACCGTAATAGCATAATCAATAAAATTGATGCCTTCAGAGAGAAGGTAAGGGATGGAGACATACAGGGGGAGAAACAGAAACATCTACTGGCTGCCTCTTTCATGCCCTCAACTGGGGGACCTGGCCCACAACCCAGACATGTGCCCTGACTGGGACTCAAACCAACAACCTTTAGGTTTTTAGGTTAGCACTCAATCCACTGAGCCACACCAGCCAGGGCAAAGTAAGGCCCATTTCTGATTCCTCATTTTTTCCTTATATTTAGAACAGAGCTTGATACATAGTAATAATTTTAAGTACACAAAAGATATCTGCTGAACTGATCTTGGATGACAATTATTAGGACTTCAATTATGTAACACTGGGACAAAACAGAGCAGATGTTTACAAAGAAAATAAACATACAGCCTGAGCAAAAACAAGAAAAGAGGAAAATGTGGCTAGATGGTAGCCTAATTTGGAGGGATTAAAACTCTCACAGAAAGGCCCTATTTGAAAGTTTAATGATTTTATGTGAGACTCTCCAGGGTCAGCAGTGTGGTAAAAGCGGGAGACCAGTGTCCAGGCGAGGTATCCTGCGGAGGTGGTAAGGGAGCATAACAATCTTTATTTCAAACATCTGGCTGAATAGCGGCTGAATGAAAATAGGCAAAAGGAGAGAATTTCTTTTGGAAAGATTAAGATACAAGTGAGATAGAAGACACCATGGAAGGGGCAGGCTCTTTTAGGACAAATGAAAGCATAGGATCCAAGTCAAAGGAGTAAAGGACTCAGGACTAGATCAACACAGGCCAGATCTTGGCTTTATTAGCTGTTTCATTTAATTTGGGGCAAATCACTTAATTCTCTGAGTTTGTTTTCTCACATGTAAAATGAAGATGAAATTTATAAGATTATGATGTCTAAATAACATAATTTCTGTTAAAAACCTGCCATATACAGTGTGCCAACATAAAAATAAGTACGTGATTTATAGAATTATACAGAAAATATATCTACTTAAAGAATATATGAATATATAGACATGCACTGGTTTCCTAGGGCTGTTATACCAAAGTATCACAAACCAGATGGATTAAAACAACAGAAATTTATTCTCTCGCTATTCAGGATGTCAGAAGTCCAAATCCAAAGTGTCAGAAGGTTTGATTCTTTCTTGGGGACTCAGAGGGAGAATATGTTCTATGTCTCTCTGCTAACTTTTAGTGGTTGCTGGCAATCTGTGCCTTGTAGCAGCATAACTCCACTTTCTAGCTCTGTTGTTATGTGGCATTCTCCCTGCATGTCCCTCTATGTCTCTGATCTCTTCTTATAACAACACCAGTCATATTAGATTTAAAGTCCACCTTACTCCAGTATGAACGCAATCTTATCTAACTACATCTGCAAAAACCCTATCTCCAAATATGGTCACATTCTGAGGTTCTAGGTTGGCATTTTGGGGTGACACTATTCAACCCAGTATAAGTATTTTCCTAACTTATCTTTATTTTTTTAAGATTTATTTATTTATTTTTAGAGAGAGGGGAATGGAGGGAAAGAGGGAGAGAAACATCGATGTGAGAAAGAAACACGGATCAGTTGCCTCTGGTACACCCCCCCTACTGGGGGCCAAACACACAACCCAGGTCTGTGCCCGGACCAGGAATCAAACTGACGACCTTTTGCTTTGTGGGATGATGCCCAACCCACTGAGCCACATCAGTCAGAGCTCTTATCCTTATTTTTATAATATCTTCAAAAGGCTATTATTATAAGAACTAGAATTTTGACCTGAAACAGGAGGATAGGAAAACAGTTGGAAGCACAGGTTATAGAATTTAAATTCCATCTATTCCTCTTCCTAGTTGCATTGTCTCTTTAGTTGATAGTTTTGTCATTTAATAAACAGGGAGTGATGTTTCAGCGTGTTTTGAGGAGGATTAAGTGATGCAATGTATATACTGCATTTAGCATGGTACCTGGCCCAGTGGGACCGTTCTTTACTCCAAAGAGGCCAACCTTTGCTGCACGTGGGGCGGAAATGAGTGTTTCTGTTCACATAAACAAAGATGATTTATCATTTTCATACAGTTGCAGGCTGAAAGTCCTATTTGCAGGGCTACTTGCATTGTTTTTATTTACCACTTTGCTACCAAGATTCCTCCATGCCTGGTTGTTCAATACTAACATGAATGATTTACCACCCTTGTTGACTCACATTCCACAGAAGTGCTGGGCCATTCGTCATTGTCCTTCAGTGTTTAGAATTCCAGTTTGCCCATCAACTTTATAACACTTTACTACTATATTCCAGAAAGCAACTGCTTAAACATAATCATCATCATCTTCCTTAAGTTGTTTTTTGAAAGAATAATTTTAAAACATATACATAAATAATGTCTTAACTTTCATAAATTTAATACATTATTTCACTAAACCTTTAGACCTCTTGAAAGTATTTCAAGAAAACCAAGTATTTTATCCTTTTCTTTTTAAATGAGAAAGTTTGGTGTTCAAAGTGACTACAAATACACTTTGCTGTGCTCTGGTCAGTAGAGATGCCATATATGTGTCTTCCACAGTACTCGCTTATATTGGCAGCATTCTCAGAGTTCATTGTTGAACATCTGCTAATAAAATGTAAACACTTTAATCTACATATGTAGTCTTGGTGGTCACTATTTTATCCATAGAGAAAACTCACTACTATACTTTTGAGCAGACTTAAAACTTGAAGTTAAATTGTCAAAATCTCTATTGGTCTTCTGATGGTTTGCTTAATTTAACACTCAACTTTGTTACGTTGCTGTTTTCCATTGTGCTGTACAAAGAAGCTGGCAGGGCAGGAAACAATCTGAAGCACTTTTTGCCATCATGAAACACTCCTATGAGTCCAAACTTATATTCAACTGAGAGTGTTGTACCTTTTAACACTATGTTTCCATTCCCCAAATGGCAAATATTCTTTGGATTTTAAGAATTTCTGTATGTTATTGCTTGTTATAAGGTGCATGTATAACCAGCGTCAATGTAAGAGAGGTCCAGACCTCTAAGAAAATTTTATGAGTTTATTTGAGCCAAAGTGTTGGCAGTTGCCTGGAAGCATAATTTCAACGAATTGAGAAACCGCTCTGGAAAATGGCAGCTTTACCATTTATTTTATACATTAGAATCACAGGGGAAGATATAAGTGGGTTACATGAAATTTAGTGGTGGTAGATTAGGGAGGCGGGAGAAAGCAAAGCAGGGGAAATGTCTGGGATTGGACAAAAAGTAAAATGAATAGACACATACTTCTTTTATGTAGGCAGTTATAGGACGGTTAACAGTTAACAAATAATGTGGTGATAATAACGAGGGGATTTACGGTCTGTGCTCTGGTGGATGTTCGTGCTTTGAGGGGTCCAGGAAAAAAGGAAATTACTTTGATATTCCAAAGTTATGTTATTGTACATGCAAAACACATACACACAACAGACAGGCTCCGTTAAGGCACTATTGACCTTTGCCAGGGAAAAATACTGGCCTAGGATATAACTACTGGCCATGAACTGTTTTTAGTTAAAGTTTTAATTTCAGGTCTCTGAGTTTGTAAGGCCACCATGCAGGCCTCCCTTGAGCTTGTTGGGTTTAGTATGTGGCCCCTTTTTCGTTCACATGAGGCAGGCAGGGAATTTCACAGACTGACTTGTGAGATCAAGACAGATCAGGCATTAATTTCAAATCTCAGGAAGCCCAAGGCTGCGTACCAACTACCTGAATCTAGAGAAGCCAAATGCAGAGAAACTGCTGGTAGTTCATAAAAGCTGCATATGCTTTAGATCTGGTATTTGGCTTTACATGTGTTTCAAAAGTGTATCTACACGATTCGTTTGGTTTACTTCATAGTAAGTACAGTAATTTCCGTTTATAACAGAGAAGGAAGCACTTAAAAAAAAAAAAAAGAGAGAGAGAGAGAGATCTTAGTGAATGTGTGCCAAAGACAAGGCTAGATGGTTTTTGTGTCTTTGGAAATCTTTGGGAGACCTCTAATTTCTGTGACTGAATAATTTCATATTCTGTTAGCCTGGTATTCCACCACATATAAAATTTTTTAACAGAATACAGATTTCATGAGTTTGTGGTTTGTCTAAGCTTCCTTTTTAAAAATCCTGGACATATTGGAGATAAAAATGATCTCGGTTACTTTTTAAATTGCACTTTACAAAATAAAAATATAAACATTTTTTCAGATTTATTTCAGAACTTTCTAATCCCCAGGAATGTTTATTGATATAGATTAAGCAATGTAGAGATTTAAGGGAAATAGGCACCGCATTGCAGTAGGTTTGGTCATGAGAAAGCATTTCAGCACAGGTTTTGCCACAAAGCATTTGTGAGTCTTAAGTTAGAGCTTCAGAATTCCTTCTGAAAAGGACAAAAGAGAGACTTCCTGTCATTTCCACTGGTTTCTGCATGTGGGACCAATATGGGCAATACAAAGTTTAAACAGATGCAAATGGTGAGGGAAGGAGACAAAACCTTGCCTAGTTTTATGTATTTCTCCAAATCCAGATTAAATTAAGTCCGTCTCTCCTAAAAGCTTCCAGAGTAGACTTCCACTGAAGTTACTGCACACTTGAATGGTTTATTTCACCAATATTTGCTTATGGAAATGAAGGGGAGTAACAGAGGGGAAGGAGGAGGGGTGAGGAGGAGGGGTTTGGGGCTGAGGGAGGCTCTGACCACAGCACAGCACACCAGTAACCTTGTCTGATGTGATCATTAACCTTTCTGGAAAAGGCAGCTGGCAGTTCTCTGAGGTTTGTCATTAGAATGTGAGAAGAGCCACACAGATACTGCACAGGCTGTTCACAGAAGTTTGATTTACTTTGAAAGCAACTGCTCCGTTTTAGTGTAGCAGAAAAATGAGATTTCAACAATTCTTCTTTGTGTTTTTAATTTTTGTGATGAGTCTTCTTCTTATCAGAGGACAGAGACCAGGTAAGACTGGTACATTTGTAGCGAGTAAATTGTTTGTGTGCCGGTTTGTGTCCGTGGGACTCTGAGCATGATTGTATTTATGTTGAAAAGCGCTGAGGTGTGCTTGGGGGTTTCGGGGATGTGTAGGATTTCAGAAGTATGCTATCCATCCTGTTAGGTCTATTGTTTTGTTATGTTTTTAAATAGCTGGTTATTAAAATGATGATAAATATTTTACTACTATTTTTCTAATTTTAAAAAATATTCTTTAGCTACTGTAGATGTGTTGCCCTAACAGGTAAAAAGGAATGAAAATGTTTAGTCCATTCATTACAGAGGTAAACAAAACCTATAGATTTTTAGGTAAAATGCAAAATCCAAAGCAGTTTATTAAAAGAGTATGTAGCTGGCTAAAATGGGGCAATGCTAACTGAATTAGCAACACATAAAATTCATAATAAGTCAAATTGTAGATGAATTCTTAAAATGGGTTAATAGCTATTATTTCCAGGTATGTCACTTAAAACAAAAAATGTACAATTTTAGTATTGTGCTTATAAAGCCAAAAGTGCCAAAAATATGTATGGTCAAGATACATAAACATTAATTTACTTAACATATTTTTGAAAGCTGATATCAGATGTGTTGTCCTTATCCAACAGGAATTTAGTAAATAGTTATTCTAAAGTGCTTTTACTTCAAAACCAAATATCTACGATTTCTAAGTACTGGCAAATAAAAAAGAAATTTCAGACTCAGGAAAAAGCATACCCCAATTTAAATAGAAAGGTGATTATATTTACATCCAAATATGTTATGTTATTCACTTGATAATATAATTCTCCATTTAGAACAGAAAATGGTACATAAGTGGTTAAAAATTCAGTCTCTGCTTTTTAGTTAATCAGAAGTTTGATCACTGAGGTTATTTCAAATGTAGTCCCCTGGTGTGCCCTTTTACATAAATAAGAAAAAAAGTTTCAAATTAGCAACTTGGAAAGCATTCCTTTTCACTGTTTACAGTAATTGCTACTCAAACCATTTCTACTTTTGTGAAATATGGAACATCTTGGACAACGTTCTTGTAAAATATTTGTGATTAATTCACCACAGAAAATAAAAGGTCCAGGAGCATTTAGGAAGAAGACGTGTAGAAGGAGGGGGACGTTACTATTAGGTCCTGCTATTAATATTAACATGGACTGTCGGGGATGTACCTTGTGTATCTGCATCACATTAATTTTTTTATATCATAATCACGTCTAAACAAATAGCAAATAATCCCATTATAGTTTGAATCCTAAGTATTCCCTTGCATCCCCCAGACTGACAACAGCTAATTTTCTGAAATCATGCTCCTAATATTTCCCTCTTTCCCCCTCAGCTAATTTGGCGATGAGAAGAAAACTACACAGACTCAGCTGCCATCAGAGGAGATGCATTCCTCTCCATTCACGAGTGCCCTTCCCCTGAGGTATTTCTGATGGAAAATAGCTTTCTTCCATGTAGGCAATGTGCCAGGTTGGATGTACATACCAAAGAATGTCTGTTCATAGTTCGTGACATGTGATAATGGCTTTATGGTACTGTCAGTTAAAGGGGTGCATGCTAACAGATGAAACAGTGAAATGACATGATGATTAAAAATAGTTTAATGGGGTAGATGAGAAAAGTGTAGGAAAATCTTGATCATTGTTGAATCTGAATAATAGTTATATGGGGATTAATACGATTGTATTTGACAATTATAATTAAAAATCAGGCACCAGGAGAATATTTATGGCAGTATCTTTAAACATGTGTTTTGAAAAACACTGAATAGTTCTCTGTTGAAAGCATTTGGGTATATTTGCCCAACGACACTGTATGAACGATGTGATAGCCTCAATATAGTTTTTTTTCCTGATAATATTTCTTTTAATACATAAACTCAACTTAATTTTAATGGCATAGCAGCTTTACAACCTCACTCATAGAACTGTTCTTGATGGTTGCATTTTTAAGTATAAATTCTGAATAGAATTTTGCTCCTCCCCCACTTTTTTGTTGGAAAAAAAGATGATTAAAAGACCAATGATTTTACATCACCACCATGAACCAATAATGCTGTCCGAATCAATTAACTTCAAACACTGCCTAAGTTACTTTGCACTAAAAAAACAATTAACTTGGCATTCTATTTAATTACTTTAAGCTTTTAAGTCATAAAATGTATCTTCCTTTAAAAAAATGCCATAGAAATATTCTTCAGCTGTTTCATATAACACAGGCAATTGCTGAATTAGCTTATTCAGCTGGCCCATAGACTGTAGTGTTTATGGCACTATTCATTCAGAGGAAAGAATGGTTGCTACACCTATTTAATATGTGCTTTTCAAACCCAGTGAAAGCCATGAGTAGGACATTATAAGGAGGAAGAGCAGTTCAGTAATAAGCATTTCAGTAATAAGCATTTATCACGAGGACTAAGACAAAAAGTCAAGATCTTTATGCTTGTATCTATATTACTCTTTGTTATCAACATGAAAAATAAATTTGGTGGAAGAATCCAGAAAGATACAATAAATAAGAAGTTTTTGAGAAGACAATTAATTGAGGCTGAAACATGCTTTAAAAGGGTTTAATATGTTTAAAAAATTCTTTGCTGTGTGTTGATAACACATTTTAGTCTTGCATATAAATACGTAATGGTAAAATCTATGCTGAGGAGGAGTGGAGAAGTTCAAGATTTTCCCAGCACTCCCCCACAAATAAATAACAAAGAAGAGAGGAGGCATTTCACAATAGCAAGGGAATTCCTGCATATACAGAGCAAGATACCTTACATAACTGTGAATAAAAGCCCTTAGTTAGCCACAGGTTATATTGGCTTTCTCTACAAACCACCTGCCATAAAAGCTAGTGTTGCAAATAAACAAGACAGAGTTAGGAAATTTGAATTGGCAAAGCTAAGGAAAAATTTTAACCTACAAACCAAGTTTGTAAACCGAAGGGAAATTTAAGTGAAGGCTGTATAGACCATTTAATAAAGCAATCCTGTACAAATGTAGACTGAACCCCTTAAAGAACTGCTCGGCTAACAGCATTCACTGTGTCAGTGTTTAAACTAGTGCTACATACCAGCTACATTTCTTTGAAGAATGTGTAAAAACCTTATTTTGGAATCCAGAAATAGTATAAGAACCAGTGCAAGATAAACATTAGATAATTTTCTAAGACCCTCCTGAACCAGCGCTATAATAGCAAGTGCTACCTTCAAATTTGATAGCATAATTCTCACTGTCCTAAAATTTGCACATTTTTTATATGTCTTGCAACAAAAAATCCCCACAATTTGATAACAGAGTAAAGGCACTATAGACCTAGGTAGTGGAACTCTAAGGCAGAACCTCCCTTTTATTTATTCCCCTCTGTTTTCGTGCATGCTTTAGATAAAATCACATGTGGTTGCTTGATTCAGTTAGGGTCAAGTAAAATTGTAAAAGGATAGGAAAGGTAAACAGTTAACTTTGGAATTTTTCCAGATTAACCCTTTAGACTGGTTTACACTTTTAACTCACTTAAGGGAAATGCTCTATTACCTTGATTACCAGTTTTGAGCTTCTAGAGTCCTCTTCAGTGATCCGCAGTAAGATTTCCTAACAACTAAATAGAAATAGACTTAATCAAATAGAAAACGGTTGCTGCATGCAATTCATGTTCTTGATTTCTTTTTTCTCACAAAAGTCTTTCAGCATTACATTCAGTGCTAAGTAAATTGGAGCAGAGGAAAGCAAGAGAAAGAGTGTCAGGAATTCTAAGCTTATAGGTCAATGTGAGAGCTACAGAGTGGAAAATGGGATATGGGCTTTAGACTCTAATGATTTCCCCCTCCAAACAGTAAAATCTCACTACATCAAAGCTTTTATTTATAAACATGTACTCTAGATAACTACATATCCTATTAGGACATACTCTATCTAACTTTTTAATAATAATTGTAATATATTTCCATGGTGTAAAAAAAATTTTAACAGTATGGAAGTATGTAAAGTCCAAAGTAAGTGTTCCTACCCTCTTCCCCATTTTCCCCTACCAGAAGTAAGAGCTATGGAAAGAATTCTGGTAAAGTTACCTTTTATAAATGAGACCAGCTAACATTGTCTTGCCACCCTTTAAAAAAAATGTATTGATTAATAAAATTATATAGGTTTCAGATATACAATTCTATAATTGCCACCCTTGATTGCCATTCAAAATGTAAGTTTTCTATTTTCTGCCTTAATCCTATCCTTCCCAGGCATGGACTGCTTACCTCCTTGACCAAATCTCTGCCCTACCTCTCTACTCTTTCCACAAGTGTCCTGTTGTCTTGGCTCTTCTCATTCCAGTCTGCTTTTGACTAAACTGAAAGCCAGCTTCGCCTTTGGCACAGAATCCCCACTTTTTAGTGAAGCACTTCATCTCCAATTTTAGCAGGGCTCCCCAGAAAGTACTCTTCTTACTCTTAGGTGCCTCTGATTCCCATTCACCTATGTATTTCAAATAGTCAATGACCTCTACTTCCCTTAAACTTCCTTTTTTAAAAAAGATTTTATTTCTATATCTTTAGATAAATAAGGGAGGGAGGAAAAAAGGGAGAGAAACATTGATGTGAGAGAGAAATATCGATTGATTGCCTCTCCTACATACCCCTACGAGGACAAACCTGCAACGCAGACATGTGTCCTGACCAGGAATGGAACCAGCGACCTTTTGATTTGCAAGATGGCGCCCAACCAACTAAGCCACACCACATGCCAGTCAGGGTTCCTTAAACTTCATCTCCTTTTCTAATTCACAGCAAGAGATAATTCCTCTTCCCAGAGAAAGTGGAGATAATCAAGCTGCAAAATCAGACCCTGCCCACAAACTTACAGATGTCTACATCTGCAACACTTCCACTCGCTCTTCCTAGTCTTTCACCAACTGATTCCTCTCTTGGGTATGGTTAATTTTTCTACACCTCAGGAACTTTGACCAACAGTTACTCCCTTTTTTCTCTAGAATGTTCCTCAGTGAAAAGCAACTATTTTATTCTTTTTTTTTAAGTGCACCATTGACTTTATTAAGCTCTCTAGTGACCAGCCCATGTTCAATACACAGCCAATTTTCTTGAAAAGATGGCTCTTTCCTGTCCTCCCAGCCATTGTCAACACACTACTCCCTGGCACATTCTGGGAACGGTCCCCCATGACTTTTCAAATCCAGTGAACACATTTTGGTCCTGATCTCGGTTATCTTGCTGTAGGTCAAATCATAGAATGGATTTTCCTTGGTTTCAGTGACACCATCCTCCCTTTTGACTATTTATCTCTATATTGGGAACAAATTACTATTCTTTTCAGGACTTGTAATGTGTCCAAAGCCTACCTGGACACGTAGCTGCCCTACGGCATATAGTCACATCTACAGTATACATGCAAATCTCTACTGTGGTTTCTAAACAGCTTATTCCTGTAACTCAGTTCTCAGTTCCAATATCATAGATGTCATCAGGAAAGGTTTCTCTGATGATCCTTTGTGCAAAAAAGCAATACCAAAATACAGTCTTTTTTTTTAAAGGCAATACCTTACTCTACCCGTTTCCCTTTTCCTGGTTGTTGATCTTCCATAACACTGAATGCCATCTGACATAACACATATTTCCTTTGTTATTTGCTTAGTGTCTGTCTCTCTTCATTAGAATATAAGTTCCATGAGAACAGAGACTTTGCTTTGATCACAGCTATGTGCCCAATGACTACAGTATGTTCTCCAGAAATATTTGATGAATGAATAAGGGAAAAAAGGAATGAGTACCTAGAAGTAAATTCTTCAATTTCCTCCCACTCAGATATTTCTCCTATGCTTTCAAAATTTGGACATTTGTAAAGATACTATATATTAGATGTTTATTATGTAAGGTAATATATGCTATGAAATATACATGTTACTATCTCAACACAAATGTCCGAACACAGTGTCCTAATATTTAGTTCTAGTTCGTTTCCTAGGAATATGATTTCTACCTCAAAGTATTTTTTCAAATGTTCTCTTTATCTCGATTACTATGTTAGTGCCTATTATAGCTCTCCAACATGACTTTAGTGGCTTAACTGATCACTCCAGCCTCCAGTTCTGGTTCTGAAAAGTCCACTTTTTGTTGTATCATCCAATTTTTCCAAACTAAGTCCAATCATATCACACCATGATTAAAACCCTTAACTGTCCCTATAGCCTTCAGGACAGTGAGAATTCCCATAGTTTAACAAACAGCACTTTACAAAATGTACCTCTTCAGCATTATATGTTACCGCTTCTCCCCTTCTCTCTTGCGAGGGAATAAGAATTAAGACTGTTTTGCACTTCTGGATTCGAGCTCTGGCCACAGAGCGTGACTCGTTGCTCAGTCACTTACTGCTCAGTCACTTATCTTCTCTAAGCCTTCCTCCACTCCCAGACCTGTATGGTGGA